TTCAACAGAACTGAAGCAAAAGAATCATATTAGTGCATCATTTTACAATTTAAAATCATAAACTCATCTTTGTAATTCATTTGCAATCTTTGTGTGTACGTGCGTGCGTGTACAGTGAGTGACAGCGTTGACTTGGCCGAGGCGGTGAGGACGGTTTTGAAGCAGGAGATCTCCAGACTGTTTGGAGAGAGCAACCCAGAGAGCTTCAACAAGAACTACCTGAGCCAACACTCCAACTCCATCCCACACCGACTGGCTGGTACGCTGCAGACACACACACACACACATTTAGAAAGGTCATACCAAAAGCAAAGTGATCACTCCCTCCACCCCTCACGGCTCCACCAGCTGGCTCCAAACGTGAAGGATGTAGACGCAGATATCAGGGTTTTTCTACACTTTTCAGTCAGATGTAATTTCCTGAATGAATCATACGCTTTAATCAACTTTTGTGGGTCTTAATTGAAGCTGATTAACACATCATCAAACAACCCGACTAAATAAAGCCGTTTTCACATCTGCCCTCCTGAAAGTTTCAGACAGTCTATGCAATGTGCGTCCACACATACAGCTCCTCCTGGGGATATCAGGAGTGTGAAAGCCCTATAACAGTTTTCACCTTACTGGAAAGCCAAGTGTCTGAAAGTGTTTTAATGAGAAACAAGCTGTAGTCTGAGTCTCTGTCTTGTTTCTGCAGCTGCTAAGATGATGGTCTACCTGCAGCCTTCCTCTGATAAGATGGCATGTGAGATCGCTACAGCGCTGGACGAGTCTCTGTCTGGAAAAAGCCTCCAGGTGTGTGATGAATTACATAAACTTCTGTGTGTGTGTGTGTGTGCGCGTGTGCGCGTGTGTGTGTGTGGTCTTGTTATTTTGTTTTCACTCATTGAAAATGTTTTTCATCTATTTATTTTGATTCTGTTAGTTGTTGCTAACAATAGTAACCTGTGTGTGTTTGTGTGTCGGTACGTGTGTGTCTCTGTACTGTGTGTGTGTGTGTGTGTGTGTGTGTGTGTGTGTGTGTGTGTGTGTGTGTGTGTGTGTGTGTGTGTGTGTGTGTGTGTGTGTGTGTGTGTGTGTGTGTGTGTGTGTGTGTGTGTGTGTGTGTGTGTGTGTGTGTGTGTGTGTGTGTGTGTGTGTGTGTGTGTGTGTGTGTGTGTGTGTGTGGTGTGTGTGTGTGTGTGTGTGTGTGTGTGTGTGTGTGTGTGTGTGTGTGTGTGTGTGTGTGTGTGTGTGTGTGTGTGTGTGTGTGTGTGTGTGTGTGTGTGTGTGTGTGTGTGTGTGTGTGTGTCTCTGCCCTGCAGATCTGTACTGAGGTGCTGGATGCACTGCGTGACGGCCAGCTGGGTGAGGAACAGCAGAAGGCGGCCGAGGCTTACCGAGCCGCCTGCCACAAGCTCTTCCCTTATAGCCTGTCATTCATGCCCCCTGGTTACCATGACAACAGTACCACAATCAGTGCCAATGGCGACCTGTCGGCGGGAGAGCACGATGACATGTCAAACGAGATGTGAGCTCTGACGAGAGGAGGAGGTGGGAACATGCTGCCAGACGCCTTAGTCCACCAACACACAAAGTCCCCCCATCCTCCTCGTCCTCTTCCTCCCCCTTCTCATCCTCCCTCCTCAAACCCAGGGCTAAGGCTGTGTTGAGTGTCGTCCCCCCCCCCCCCCACATTGCACTGATCTGGATGGACTGAGTGCCACAGGACGGACAGGAAAGGGAGCTGGCACATGCAGAAAGACAAACTTTTTTAAACGTTTAAAAAAAAAAAAAAAAAAAAAAATGCCCCGCAGATGTTCTGTCCCTGAAAACAAAACCAGATAAATACAGTATGAGGAGACAGAGAAGATTCTGGGAGAAGACATTGGCTGGCTGAGATGGCCTCTGTAAACACAGTCCAGGTTTTCTAAGACTCCTGTGTTTTCTTGAAGGTTCATCTACTTCTCACGTTTTTAAAAGTAATTTATATATTACAAACTGACAAATGGATTAATAAAAACAATGTTTGCTAAATAAAAGCGTACCATTGTGATGGTGCTGTTGGTTGGGGGGGGTGTTGTTTCTACATTTCAGTTAACCGCCTCCTCTTTGTCAACCACCGAGGAGCTGTGAACCCTGGTGAGATTAAAAAAAGGTTTTCACACAGGGTTTGTTAGGAGTTTCTGCATGTCATCCATGCAGAGCGAGTTAGATGAAATAAACATGCTCCTAGGAAGGATCACTGACTCCTCTAAAACAGGTGGTGAGATGCCTCCTTTCAGCTAGTTATTGTTAGACCTTCATCTAGTTGATCTGGCTTGCACGTTAGCAAACAGCAAAGTGGTGGTTGTATGTGGAACGCTGAAAAGACGTGGACATCTCCACAGCTCTGTACATTACGTACATGCTCTACTCTTTGAAATGTAAATGCAATGCTCACCATTCCTTGAGCTCAGTGGACTGACTCCTTAATGAATGATCTTGACCCTGAATTTTCAACAAATCAGATTTAGTTCATGAAAACATTGTCCAGTTTGGACCTCAGATGGTACAAAAACGTGACAGATCAAAGATACGGAAAAACATGTTTCAAAAGCACTTCATAGTCTTTATGACAGAATTAATTTATTAAGATATTATATCTTTATTTAACCTCAGAGCACCACCTTACAAAGTAAGGAAATTAATATTACTTGTAGTAATTAATTAATCAGTCAGTTTCATATCTTGAAGGAAGTAATTCTAGAAATGTTTAAACCAGAAAACACAAAGTTCTGAATTTTATGTGTAAAATTTAATATGGAAATGGTAAACAATAAAGTATAGATAAAACAGATGAAGAATATGATTCTTAGGATCGGGATAATGCAATTATAATGTATGGTGACATTATATATTTAGTAATGGGATAAAACGTGGTATTGTTTGAATGACTTAATCAGCAAATTATCAAAGGAGAAAAAGTTGATAAACAAATTTTGGGATTCTGTTTGGATTTAAAGGAGCTCTGAATAGACACGACTCACGACCTAATCTCTCAACACCAGCTTTGAACCAACACTCTTACTGTGAGGTGGTTTGGATGAACTCCGCCGACTGGTCCAGTCCAGACGGCGGTTCAGCCGTCGTGGTTGTGTCATCATCAGCTCCAAGTGGATCCAACAGGAAAAATGTTAAAGAGTCTTGATGTGTCGATTTCCAATTTAAATTAACCTGATGGCCATCTCGATGAATCTAAATTAATTCTAAAAATTGAAGAGCCAAGACTTTAGAGAAGAAAGTTCAAAAGCCTTGCTTGAGCCAGAAAGAATTCAAGTTTCCAAAAATGTGCGCTGAGGGTTTATGAAGGAAAGTTCGGCAGAGATTCGTCTTTCTACGTCGCAAACTTAAAAGTCTTCAGGTGATTCGAACTAAAGTCCGAAGAGAAGCAGAAGAAGACAAGAACAAGAACCTGAGATCTGAGCTGAGTCTGAACTTTTATCAGCTGCAGGAGAGGGGTGCCGCCCAAGGGTTACTCCCACTCTGACCAGAGGAGATATGTTTAAATTAAACCGAGTTTACTCAATAAGATTAGGAATAATAATCTAAACATATATACGTCACCATACATTCATTTTGATATTATTTCTATCAGATTAGTCTGACATATTAATAAAGTAGGAAAATAAATTGGTGTCTTTAAATAACACCTTCTATAGCTAATATTAAAGAGTATGCTTTATAACACGTCCAAATGTATAATTATGAAGGTTACGTATTCATTCTAACACTAGATGGCAATAGTGCTCCACGTCAAATTCCTATTAAACATAATATAACTCTTATTGCTGTTCTGAAGATCAGATTTTGAGTTTAAAAAGATGATTATAATACATTCAATGTGACAATTACAAATATCTAGATGAAGAAAGATATAAATGTTCATTTGATGCAGAATTGAAAGCTGTGGTTTAATTCAGTTCTTCAGCAGTCCTTCAACAGATGGTCAATTTTACGACTTTGCAGAGACTGGTTTCGGTCACAGTTCATGTCTTTGGGGTCAATTCGTAGATAGCAGAGTGTTCTGTTTCTGCTTGGTTGTTGACTCAAGGTGTTGTAAATGTTTATAATATCCTGTCTTCCAGAGCCTGTCTGAGAGGGAGACTTAAATCATTAATCAGTTCCTTTGGTTCTTGGTAAAAAGTAACCAAGATGTTAATCCACAGTCCTGAGTCCTGCAGGAAGAGAGGTTGTGAAACGTGGCTGCTAATATGGGCTACACAGATTTTAATTTTTCAGGCACACATTCATCCCCGACCCACAAAAAAATGGCTCTGCGACCCACCAGTTGAGAACTGCTCTAGCTTAGGGTGACGTCCATAGCTGACTACAACGTGACTTCGCTATGCTACGCTCTTATGCAGTTCGGCTTCTGGGTCAAAGCCTGGCCCGGGAACTGTGGAGCATGCTCAGAACTTCTAGACCAATTTGAGTCTGATGACAGTGTAAACATGCGAGAGTAAATTGATCTCCATCCACAGTGTCACACTGTGTGAACCTGACTTTGAGAAGTTTGATTCATTACTGACTGAGTCAGGAGGACTAACAAATTCACATGGACTGTAAAAGTCCTGTTTAGTGGCACTAACACAATACATAGATATATTTTCTGACCGTGTAAACGTACTGACTGAGTCAGGAGGACTAGCTCTGTTAAGAGTCTGCATCTATCCAGAGATTTCTGAGGGCTGGGACAGAGGCTTCATGTTTATGTTTGTCACTGGTTGCCTGCTGCTGGTGTAATCCATTGACTGTATTTAGATATGGATGAAAAGAGAAGAATAAACATCCTCACAACGGGCACCTTGCACCAATGGTGACATCATCAGGAGCCAAGACATGAGCAGAAGGGATCTGGCATGTGGAGTTGATACACTGTGAGGTGAGTTTAGCTTAGTCAATGTCAATGTTTCCTTAATGTCTGATCAGATAGTAAGATACCTTTATCATTTAAATCAGTTAAATAAAAACCCACTAAATTATTGTTTTAATCCACCATTTTATTCACATCCAAGAGGTTTACAATCAATCATACAACAGTTATAACTATCTCTGTAAAATGTACAAAATTAAAGTATAAACTTTGAACAAACCATGGAGCGTCTGATGTTCATAATTTATGAGTTCTTCAACATCTCAAGCTAAATGAATTTCTTTCAAACACGATAAAGACTAAAGACGATAAAGGCCGTCACATATTCAAATGAGCTGCAGTTCTGTTTGAGTTCAACGATAAAATGACGAAAGCAGGGTTTGGAAGGAGTCCATTTAGATTTGATCTTCCAAGAATTTTAAGGTTTATAACCCCACTACATCCAGACATCACTTTCAAAAGTCTATTTACATCATCATACAATTTATCTCATAGTAAATATAAAATGAAGACAACAGCAAAAGCACTTATTGATTCCTCCACTGAACAACAAATGAAGAAGATTCAGCAACAGAATTAAATGAACATGAATTAAGAATACGGCGGAGCGGGCTGAATCCATGAATCTATCCGGTTGTTAATAAAAAACTGTTAGCGTGTGTTATTCTTTGTCAGTCCTCTTCCATACACAACAAATCAATAGACAAAGATTTTTTAAAGACTCAACATAACCTGCCAGGTGTTTTCGTGTGTCAGTGTGAATGTGGGTGCTGAGTTTCATGTCATCGTTTCCCCTCACTGAGCTAGCAAACTATGACGCGTATGAACCATGATGTACATTCAGTTTTTCAAGGAAAGACCTGAAAACACCTTCCACAGAAAGTGGACAGCTTTCAGATGAAAACAGTAACAGAGTCAGAAAGGCATTTGACCTTTATGTTGCTGATTTCTGTGATAGAAAAAGTTAGAGAACAATCAAACACATGAAAAATATAAAGGTTTAAAATTATGAGAACTCATCAGGGTGTAATCATATATCTCTCCCCGATGGATGAACACATAAATGGATTGAAATCAGCACATATAACTGACATACGGGTTTATAATTTAGCCTTTTTTTAAATGATTTTCAAAGATCATTCCCAGTAGCCTACATATCTTGTTCTTTACAATCAATGTATTCATTCAGATTCTATTTGGAAGAGGACAACTGATGTCTGAAATAGTTTTCAGCCTTTACCACAAAATACAAAAGCATTGCAGAATTCTTCATCATCATTGTTTCACTGTTACAGAGACGTTCAGTGGTATTATCTTCAGAGGACGTAGTTCATAATTATAAATGTATGGACACAGCTTTTCAGTGAAAGTGTGTGTGAAGGTGTGTATGTGTGTGTTAGTGTCAGGATCAGAGAATGACAGCTTTCCTCTGTCCCAGTCCAGATTCACTCTGATACTCTGAGGATATCCTCTCACTGACAGATCATTGTGTTCATCTGATGGGGTGTATGCTGTGTATTTATAATTGAAAAACTCTATTCTCCATAATCCAGAGTTTATGTCTCTGTTCCTGACTGCTGACTCCTCACACACACCAACTTCCCAGTTTGTGTTCTCTCCAACCTCGACGTCCCAGCTGTGAGTCCCTGAATTGAAGCCCTCAGAGCTCAGGACAGACCAGCTGTCATCAATCCTCTCTGGATTATCAGGAAGCTGCTGCTCCTCTCCTCGTCTCACACAGGTCAGATCTTCAGACAGGATGAGGTCTGAACTAGCAGAGTTTGGGTCCAGAATCACAGGACTGTAGGAGACCATGTTCATCATCTTGTTCCAGATGTGGAAGCTCAGGTTGCCCAGGTGTTTGGCCACATCTATCAGAGCTCCTGAGGGCAGCTGTGGATCCTCCAGCAGGGGGCGTTGCTGGACTCTTTCCACTGCAGCCTTGTAGTTTTTCAGGAATGAGAGGTCTGCAGCTCTCAGCTTGTCCTCTGAGGCTCTGACTGTTTGTGAAAGAGCTGCTATCTCTGTGCTCAGAACCTCAATCTCCTCCTTCAACCTCTGACTCTTCTGCTTCTCTTCCTCCTTCAGTGTAGAGATTCTGGCCTCCTCTTCCTTATCTAGAAACTGGTGAAGTTTCTTAAACTGTTCCTTTATCTGCCTCTCTGTGTTTGCAGCCTGGACCTTGATGTGTTTTCCTGTTTCATCACAGACTTTTTTGACTTTATTAAATCGCTTCAGTTTGTCCTTTAAGGGCTTCAGTGATTCCTGGAGCTTGTCCCTGAGATCTTGTGCAGCTTCATCGATGGGTCTGAATGTGTGGTTGGTGTGTTGTTTAGAGTCTCTGCAGACAAGACACGCTGGCTGCTGATGATCCAGACAGAACAGTCTGAGTTTCTCAGAGTGCAGACTGCAGAGATCCTCAGAGTCTGATGAAGCTCTTTCATCTCTCTGCAGTAAGAAGGCCTCACACATGTTCTTTAATGCCAAGTTAATAGGTGGTTCTGACCTTGAAGATCTTCTCTTACAGACTGGACACTCCTGGGCCTGCTTCTCTCTCCACCATCTCTGCAGACAGGCTTTACAGAAGCTGTGGCTACATGACAGAATCACAGGATGTTTGAAGATGTCACAGCAGACAGAACAGCACAGATCCTCCTCTGAACAAGAAGCCATTTTCCTCTGAGTGAAGCAAAACTCCCGACAGGCAGACAGCTAATTTCAAACAGCACAAACAGGTCAGACTGCTGAGGTTCCTCTTCCTCCTCCACAGAGTCTCCTGTTACTTACTTTGACTCGTGTTTTTCTAAAGCTTCTTACAGAGTTCAGTCAGTAACTGGTTGAAGTGGCAGTATTCCAGTATTCCCAGTATTCCCACCTGAAGCTGTCGTCTCTCTGTGGAAGTTGTCTCTTTTATTTCTCACAGTGAAAGTTATCGTCCGTGTGTGTGTTTCAGTGTGTGTGTGTTCACGGAGAGAGGAAGCGTCTGTTTCCTGGTTTGTCTGTGTTGAGTCATACAGGGTGGAGCTTTGTTTGTATGTTTCTGGTTTTAAAGTCTGATTGGATAATAATGTTGAAGCATTAAAGACACAGTGTTATGAGTGTTAAAATGACAGTTGTCTTCTTTGGTTCTTCAACAGATCAACACAAATATCAAAAGCTGAGGGTTCAACTCATTTACTGCCAATTGGATCATTTCACAAAGTTTCAATAGCACTTTATCTTTTGAGATTGTTTTCAGCACATCCAGGAAAAACTGCTTTCCTTTAATTTAACCTTTGGAGAAAGAATACGTGACACATTTGAATCTTGAAATGACTGTTTCTGTGATGTGACTTGAACGCAGCATGACACAGCTGCATACAAAAGCAAGCTGCCGTTTTGAGGCTTGATGATTATGTCTCTGTGACATTTAACCTTCAATATGAATGTTGCAGAAAAGTAATGGGGGACCAAGTGACCCGCCCTCTGTGCCGAGTTCAGAGGTAGTAACAGAGGCTGTACAGGGGAGCACAGCACTGTGTATGTGGGCAGGGGCAGATTTTTCAGTTGGTACTGAATGTGTATCTGAAAAAATGTTTTGTCTAAAAGGCTCAGTATTTCAATTTGAAGCATGTTTTGTTTTGTTCAGTTCCTTTGATCCGTCACATTCTTTGTACCTTCTGAAGTCCAAACTGCACAATTTTATATTCAATAAATCTGATTGGTTGAAAATCTTCTTTATGAAGGGGTTAGTATAGAGTCTTAAAACCCAGAAGTAAGTTAGCATTTGCACGCCATGGGGTCTAACGTCTAAAAGTCATCGGGGATTTTGAATGGGTTTGTGGTTAGACTCCTGAAATAAGGTCTGTGGTTAACACAAGCTGAAGAGATGTTGGTGTTTTGTTAGACCACATAAACTACGTTAGGTAATACCCTCACTTGTGAAGTTTGAAGTTTTTACACGTCTTTAAAAAGGCGGTTGCTAACAAGTGGCTAAATGTGACTACAGTGGTTGTCGGGGACATTAAACGTCATCACGCCGGACACAGAGGGCGGGAACTCTCTCACTAGTCGGAGATGTCTCCTGTAGGTTTAATCTTTGGGTTGAGGCAAATATTAGTTTAATAAATAATTTATTAAAGGAGCAATATGTAACTTTCTAAAATACTGCGTTTGTAGCGACACCGCAGACGAACTGCACCAGTTGTCTGTCTCTTTCTAGTCTTGTTGTGGTCGTGCAGCTTTTACTGTTTAACTGTCGAGAGTGCTCCTTGTTTGTTGTTTTTGGAACTGCTTCAGTAAACTGTTGCTCGCTCTCGCTGGTGTGCTCATACGTTTTCGAACGAGCTTCATCATCGGCCGTCAAACACTGGATATTTACCGGCATAATGTTGACAGAGGAGGTAAGTGGACATACACATGTGAAAGTCTGTGAAGGAGTCTGTGTAAAGGCCGATCGTTTATTTGTACAGATTCCATGTTAGATTTATTCTCCATACAAACAACAGTCTCGACAGGCACTACTGATGATCTCTGTAAAGTGGAGTGGAGTGAGGAGGACGTCGAGAACGAGCATTTAACATCACTTCCTGGAACTTTGACAGAAAAACCGACCCGGGTAAAATTTTTATGCAGGCAACACAGAGAGACAGTGAACATCTACTTTTTCACGAGCTCATCAGTTAGCCGTTCACTTATTAATGGGCGATAAAAAACGATTTATACATGTAAAAAGTTACATATAGAACATTTAAAGAGACACACACACCAAACGGAGCGTTCTGAGAGAGCTGGTTTATACTGGGTCACAAACCTCCTCTGGTGCTTGATTCATGTTATATTTTGATCAAAGCACAGCACAGATGTTTCATTTAGACCACAGGGGGACTGTTTGAAAAGGTGGAGAATATGTCCTCTTTAATGTGCAATGTTCATTTTAAATATATCGTAAGAAAAAAAAAGGATGAAGAGAAACGTTGCTCATCATTTATTATCAAATCTCCACAAAGGATAACTTATTTTTTGGAAGTTAGCAACAACAAAAATTTAAATGATGTATCCCCCTGTGGGTAATTTAACTAAGTTGCTTGCTCACCCTCTACTAGCGGCCAAAGTGCATGTCAGTCAGGTCATCTACCTATGAAAACGATTGGGATAAGTGAGCTGATGCCCATCCGAGGAAGGATGGAGGCAACATACATAATAACAGTTTTAACTCATAGAACACTCATAGTGTCAAAATACCATGCACCTTCATTGAACCAGTTAAACCATTTGAGAGCCATCTTCACATTCAGCTCACCTACTGTGGTGTTGTATATGTGCAGCCTAATGTAACTTATCACTTACATGTCTGTTATCATGACTCTCTTAATAATAATAATAAATGAGTGTGCTGGTGGAGGAGCTCAGACAGGTAGGGGGGAGCCAGGTTGTGAAGGGCTTTGTAGGTGAGGATGAGGAGCTTGAAGTTGATACGCTGGGGGATGGGGAGCCAGTGGAGGTCATGAAGGATGGGGGTGATGTAGTCTCTGGTGCTGGAGTGTGTGAGGAGACGAGCAGCAGTTCTGGATATATTGAAGTTTCTTGAGTGATTTGGATGGTGAACCGTAGAGGAGACTGTTGCAGTAATCTGGAGGTGATGAATGCGTGGGTGAGGGTCTCGGCAGCTGAAAATGAGTAGGATGAGCGGAGGCAGGCGATGTTACAGAGATGGAAAAAGGCTGTTTTGGTGATTTATTTTAGATGTGTTTGTCGTAGGAGAGGGTTTGGTTGAAGATGACACCAAGGTTACGGATGTGGGGGGAAGGGAGCACTGTAGAGCCATTGATGGTGAGGGAGAAGTTGTTGGTGGATTTGATGATGATAACTTCTGATTTGTCGCAGTTGAGTTTGAGATAATTGGTTTGGAGCCAGGATTTTATTTCAGTGATGCAGTCAGTGAGGATTGAGTGAGTGGCAGGAGTGATGGCTTTGGTGGCGATGTGGAGCTGGATGTCGTCGGCAAAGCAGTGAAACTGGAGTCCATGGCGGCGGATGATGTGACCAAGGGGGAGCAAGTACATGATGAAGAGGAGGGGTCCGAGAACTGAACCTTGGGGAACACCTTGGGAGAGAGGAGCAGTGGGGGATTTGTAGTGGTTAACGCTGATGAACTGGTATCTGTCAGAGAGGTATGATTTGAGCCAGGAGAGAGCAGTGTTGGTGATGTTGAAGGTGGTTTCAAGGCGGGAGAGAAGGATGGAATGGTTGATGGTGACAAATGCTGCGCTTAGGTCCAGTAGGATGAGGATGTTAAGGTTTCTGGCATCAGAGGAGAGGAGAAGGTCGTTAGTGATTTTTAGGAGAGTTGTTTCGGTACTGTGGTGGGAACGGAAACCAGATTGGAATGATTCATAAAGGTTATTGTCAGAGAGGTGGATTTTGAGTTGATAAGCAACAGCACGTTCCAGAAGTTTTGAGAGGAAGGGGAGGTTGGAGATGGGTCTGTAGTTGTTTGGGATGTCAGGATTGAGTCCAGGTTTTTTCAAAATGGGGGTGACAGCAGCAAGTTTGAGGCATAGTGGAACGGCACGCCAGAGGAAAGGGAGGAGTTAACTGTTGAGGTAATGAGTGGGGATAGGGTGAGAAGGCAGGCCTTGACAAGACTGGAGGAGATGGGGTCCATCAATATGCACAAAGGGCCCTCTATAGCCGGCTTTCTTCACCTCCTTCCTCGCCTACTCAACCAACGGCCACAGTTTGTTCCTGGAGTCCTTGGTTTCTTGCATCAGTTCATTAAAGATCTTTATCCTCCTTTCAGTAAGCTAGGTTGATGTTCTGGTGTTCCTCCAGATCTTGTCCCTGGCCCTTTCTGAATAACCACAGTTCAGTATGCAGTATGGAGTTTCAGTAGACCAGACCCTCATGGTCATTCAGTGGTCATTTTTTGGGGCTACCTCAGTAGACTGAACATTTCAGCATGAATACTAACTTCAGAGTTTTTTGCAGTATGGATGCATCCTTTCAGGAAATGAATTGTATTTTAACACCCACAATGCTGTGCGAAATTAAACTTAAAACATCACTTCACGTGCTCCTCCAAATCAAAACAAAGGAGAATGGATTAATTGGATTATTTTTTAATCTAGAGTTAAAGTCCCTACTGAAATCACTCCTTTTAATTAACAATAAAAAAATGTAACAAATGTCTGAATTATTATAAAACCTTTCCCCCTCTATTTAAATAATGAATTCCTTATTTATGTATGTGTCTTTATTGGTTTATTTGACTTTATATTCTGTATATTACTGTCTTTCATTTGTACTTTCCTGTATGTACTGTATGATGTTTTATTATTTAATCTGTTTTTTACTTGATTTACATTGTGATATTGTTTGTTGTTTACCTGACTGTATATGTGCATTACTCTTCTTGAATAAACAATAAAAACAAATGAGGATGGGTATAAATGACGTCACTTCCTTACTGAATGAATCAGATGAAGTAGGAACAAATATCTGTCTACTGTGCGCGCCTACTGAACAGACTAACAGTATCTAAATAGTGATAGCTTTTAATCTCCCTTAAAATGTTCTTTGTTTTTTTTTGTTTTCTTTAAACAAAGCTGAAATGACCAGAGAGAAATTCTAATTATATATAATATTCTTATCTGACCGAGTTTTACATCCATACGTGCGTTTACATTTAAAATACGATTTTTTTTTCATGTGCTTGCTTTAGATGTTTGAATCTAAATAAGTCTTAATTTAAGTTATCTGAAAAGAAGTTGGTGTTCTTATTCAATCTGTTTCTTATTTGACAAAATTAAAGTTATTCAGATGTTTAATTTTTATTAATTTAATAAATGTAATATAAATTGGGTATGAGATAATGAATTTTATAAATGTTATTTCTCTGTGTAGTTTAATTTAAAATATGAACGTTGTAGTTACATACTGACTCCACCAGAGGGCATTAAACACATGATTAGCAGATGTAACGATATTACAGCGTAGGAGGGCTTCCTGTAGACTCTTTCAAAATAAAAGTATAACTCGGGAAATGTAGTCAGAATATAATCACCTACAATTTAAAATGTGCTGAAATCATGACACAGCTGAACTGATGGAGTAAACGCTGCACGCTGATGAACCTGACTAATATTAGTCATATGAAAGATGTCGGAGTTCAGGGTCATTATGGTGATGTTAATCTTTAAAGGTTTTGTAAAAAGTTTATGCTAATTGAATGACTTTTTTAAAAGGTCTAAAGAGCAGTGATAGTTTGAAAAGTGGGAGGTGTCAGAATAACATTTAGAAGTCAAATTGAAACATTCAATGTTTAATAGAGGTGGGACAGCAGCTCAGGTAACTCATAACTAACTGAATAACTTCAGCTCGATGTCGTTAAATCGATTAAAGTTTTGTGGTTAGTGTAATGTAGGTAGCTTTGTTGTCCTTCATGTCATCACAGAGACTGAAGTCACACGGACTTTTCTCTCACTGGTCGGAAAAACAAAACAAAAAACACATTACAGACATGTTTTATTGCACGAAGAAGTTTACTGTGACGTCTCCTCTGACTGTTTCCTCTTTAAACAACACTGACAGAGTTTTGATCATTTTAACTTTCTGTCATGAAAGTACACTGCTGTACATGAGGTGACACAACATCAGACCTGATATCAACAGAATATCACCCGTCTTCACCTTACTTTCACCCCTCCTCAATTGAGTCTTCACCCCTCCCCAGCACAGTCTTCACCCATCCCCAGTCCAGTCTTCCAGCCTCCAGAGACAAGTCTTCACCCCGTCTTCACCAATCAAAATTGAATCCCTCAATGCTTAAGTACAAAAAACTGCAGTTCCTTGAGTGTCCACTTGAGGCTGGCAGCAAAAAGCCCCTGAAGTCTCGTACTCACCCACGCTGAAATGCCCATTTTGACAGCAGAAATCAACATGTTAACAGCCTGGTTATTTTGGTCTGAATAGTGTCTGTCTTCATCAGAACACATCTAAGAGGGGTGATTAAATAACTCTCTGGTTTCAGTTTCTTCAAAGGATAAGAGTTATGCATTAGAGGCGTGACTGATTTGATTGCAAGCGGGTGTGTTGTAGCGATTTGTCAGGAGGCAACGAGCTTCGCCTCAGCTTCACCGTTACTAGGCTGACTGAAAGTTAAAGACAGACAGCATTTCAAACATGGGGATCGCCATCGTTGGGCTTAAAACACACATTCAGAAACCAATGAGTGGTGCCACTGAAACTACGTCCATGTTTTGTAGTCTATGTTCTGCAACCCCCCCCCCCCGTCATAACTTCACCCCATGCATGCTGTACAGATAACAGAGAAGTGCTGAGCTAGCTTTGAGGCTAGCTAGGGTAGGATGTTGTTGTAGACCAGTTTGTCACCAGACAGCTTAATAAGACAAAGATAACAGAGAGGAGAGGAAAAGCATAGAAGATTCAGTTTTATCAGTCCTGCAGTTTTTTTCAGCTGAGCTGCTCGGTGCTAAGCTAGCTGTGCTGCTAACGGACTCAGAGTCACTAAGCATTAGAATAGAGAGAAGAAGCACGGAGAAGAGAGTTGTATCACTCTTGCACTGAGTGTTCAGCTGAGCTGCTCGGTGCTGCCCTCTGCAGCCTCTTCTTGTAGCTTGGCCAGCGACACACGGGGCAGCAGTGTCGGCCCGACGCTAACCAGACCATAATGCATTGCTGGTGGAAGGCGTGGCCACAGGGCAGACCCATCAGTAACTCCTCGTTCATAAAGTTCTCCAGACAGACCACACACTCCGAGCAATGCAGCACGTCACGCGGCCATACCGACCAATCACAGGGCAGATGCTCTGGCAGCCTGTCAGCCGATGTTAAGTCTCTGTTACCATGACGACAGCTTGATGCTGCGTGGTCAGTGTGTGTTCTGCTGTCCTGGGCTGAGGATGATCCCTGGGGCTCCCTGCCGCTGGGTGGACCTCTGTCATGTGATTCATCCGTCTGCTCGCTGCTCTCCGAGTCTGACCTTGAACTGTCCGTCTCTTTGTCCATCTCTTCGTCAGACCCCGCCCCTTCCACCCTGCAGTGAGCTCTAAACCTCCATGTGGGCAGGGCTTTACTGTAGTCCATGTTTACTAATGGGCGGAGCCAGAGATCGGGGAATGCCAGCCGCTCCAATAAGAAGTTTGGATCCTCGTCCCAGTCGGAGTGGTCAGACGGGAGCTGCTGGAGAGAGGCGATCGGGTGGAGGAGGTAGGAGGTGTACCAGTCCCACAGACTGGCCAGCCACTCAAGGTTGGTGGTGCTGTCCTCCTGATTTCTGACGGCACAGCGTCGTTTTTTCTCAAAGTAGTCGACCAGCAGGCCGTGCACCAGGTATGTGGACAGGAAGAGAGCCGGGTGTGACGAGTAGAAGGTCCAGTCCGCTCTCACCAGACTGGCCAGGGAGGTGGTGTCAGCGTACCGCAGCAGCTTCAGACTGTAGCCATACAGAGCGTCCAGGTAGGGCAGCTGCAGGAGAGCCTAGAGGGTGATCATTCAGTGATTAATAATCCATTTTCAACCCAACAATCAGTTAGTTATTGTAAAGTTAAGTCGACCACGCCTAAACCTGTCAGGTGTTAACTGCTTCTGTTTAAAAAAAAAATCAGATTTAGATTAGGTTTGCTAAACAGGAAACAGCTCCATTTACTGTGTAACACAGAGAGATATAATCCATAACTTTGATCTTGTAAAACGTCATTTATCGATCAAAATCAAATCATGATTTCATACCAGAACAGGAAGCCAGGACACCAGCAGGATGGAGTTGTATGTTCCAAGAGTCCGGATCAGAACAACAAACCGTTTCACTGTCGCTCCCTGACGATAATGTAAGACGATGTAATCAATAAAACAAAACAATAAACAATAAACCTCATCACAGACAGAAATGTAAAATGGGTCAGGGTTAGGAAGTCACCTGAGTGATGAAGAGGTCCATCCAGGCTAGCAGGTTGATCAGAACCAGACTAAGAACGAACAGATCGTTGACTTCTGGCTGCACAGACCGCAGGAACGTATCCATGGCAACCAGGGAGAGGAACTCCCCTGTACTGTGTGTGTGTGTGGTCAGAGACAAAGGGACATTGAAAGTTAAAACTACTCTTTCATGGGAAAAGTTATTGATTATCATTTCCAGGATCAATCATCACCTGTTGCCATAGCGATAAATGCCTTCAGGCATCTTGAGGATGTAGGCGGGGCCCTGTGTCACGCCGATTTCTGATAGGCTGCTGTAGTTGTCCCAGTGACGGATGTCCACAAAGATGAAGTCGATCCTACCGGTGAACTTGACGGACAACGAGGAGAAGAAGGCGGGCGGCTGCGCCAGACGTGCAAACAGAAACATCTTCACTGGGTGGGCGGGGTCAAAGCACCACTCCTCCTTCAACTGCTCAGACTGACGCAGGGTTTTGATCCGCTGAGAAACATGTGATGTCATCCAGCGGAAGATGTGTTCTGTTTCAATGCGCCGGCCGTTGTATTCTCTGAGCATTACTTTTCCCTTGGATGACGACGTCTGAGGGACCGACATGATGAGAGTGGAGCGCTGCCAGCCCCGCCTGATACACGACCTGAGGGGCGGAGCAAGAGGAAGTATGAACCAGATCAGGATCTCACAAACATGAGTGAAGCACTTTAAAGATGAGACAGAACGACAGAAAGATGAGACTGCTCGTTATCAGTCCCACTGTGCCAACATTTGAACTGATGACGTCATCATCAGACCTTCTCCTCATCCAATGACCTCTCTGACTCTCTTCACACCTGACTTTAAAAAGCTGTGATCAAACAGGTGCACAGCTCTGTGTAAAGCATGGGTTAAAATAAGTTTCCAGTGATCAGACACTACTTCCTGCTCTGTATGCAAACAAACAGGTTTTGTTTTTTTTGTCTCAGAGCTCCTCAAAACATGTCTGTGAAGTTTCTTGTTCTGAATCCACTCTGATCCTGTATTTGATCATGTCTATAAACCCCTCTATTTCAGCCCTGCTCAGAACAGGCTGTTTCTGTGTCTGTACCTTTAAATATGTAAATGAGCTGTGTCTGACCCCTCTCTGGAAGGGCTTGGGTGTCTCGGGCTTTCTCGCTCCATGTCCTATTGTTTACGGTGAGAAGGCAGACTCAGAGGACAGAACAAACACCTAGCTGTGGGAGTGTCACCCACCTGGGGGAGGGGCTACTACCCTTCGTGATGTCATGAGGGGAAAATCTCCAAACGGCCTGTTTGAGCACACATTTTCTGAAAAGTGGAGCCACAAAAGACACAGAGGATGGACTTTTCTCATCATAGGGGGGTTTGTAGACAGACTAGGGACCCATGTTAGAGTTAGAGGAACATGGTGAGTAATATGTGACCTTTAGCGTCTGTGAGGAGTTTTTAGATGGATATTAAACATGGGAATAATACTTTGCACACCTCTGCTGGACATTTGTCTGTAACTGAGGAGTCTTTTCAATCAAACCAGAACTCCATGAGGGTAATTCACTTCAGAAAATACACGTCCAGCTTCGTCCATGTTGCTTTGGATGCCAGCAAGCTTAAGCAACCAAGCAATGCAATAAACAATAAGTCAGGTCACCTGAAGTGGGTTATGGTGCATGTCTCAGCATTTCATACAGGTCACACCAGTATAAAGGATGACAGGTTTCTCACCTGTAGTCATTGGAGCAGTTAAAGGTTCCAGTTCTGATCCCAAACTGGGACACTTTCTGCACCATCTTCCCCCAGTTGGACGGACTGAGCAGAGCGTCCCGGTCCTGAGCAATGACCTGCAGGGACACAAAGACACAAGTCCGGGTCAGACAAAAGACCCGGTCCAGAGCCAGATCCTGAGTCTGGACTGACCCTCTGACTGGCTTTAAAAGGAGGCTCTTCGTGTTTCAGGTAAAATCTTGGGTGTGGACCTTTAGTTTGATGAAGTGGATCAAGTATCAAACATAGAAATTCACAATATTTAAAATATCCTCAGAATTTTATTGCCGCTCTAAAAATGCTGAGTGTAGGTCATCGAAGATTTAATCTGGACCCTGTGTACACACCTGCTGTGCACACACACCTGTAATAAACACTGACACGTTGAAAAGGGGGTGTGTCCTCCTCACTGTTTCCTGTAACAGGTGTGTTTTTACCTGAACGAGCCAGATTCCATCTTTGGTGTCCTCCACTAACTCGTAGAAGTGCATCTCTCCACTGAAGTTTGTGCTGCTCAAGTCTCCAGCGTCTGTCTGCTCCGTCTCCTTCTTCATGGCAGAGTACAGCTCGCCGTGAGTCAGCTCACCTGAGGGGGCGGGGCCAGAGAGTCTTCATCAATGACCAATCATACACAGATCATAAAAATCATATAGTTCACATTAATAACCAATGAACACTGGGCTTCAACAACAGGTGATACCCTGATGATGTCCTTGAAGAAACAATCTTCAAAAAGGTAAAGCCTCCTACCTGACTTCTCCACAAGCTCGCTCACGTCCCTCTTCTCGGCGAGTCCCGAGTAACCGAGTCCCCGAGTCTCCAGGATGGTCTTCAGCTTCTTGTAGCTTAGAGAGACCGGGTCCACCAGCTGGGTGGAGATCATCCCGGTCTCGTACCAGACCACGGCCTCGAAGATCCTCGCCAGCATGAAGAGCAGCAGGAAGTACAGCAGCAAGAAAAAGAGGCGGAGCCACATCCTTGACCCGCAACAGACCCTCTGAGACCGTAAAGACCGTCTATAACCACCAAACTACAGAACCATGGAACAGCCCACTGTCTCTGTGTGTGTGTGTGTGTCTGTCTGTCTCTGTGTGTGTGTGTGTGTGTGTGTGTGTGTGTGTGTGTGTGTGTGTCTGTCTCTCTGTGTGTGTGTGTGTGTGTGTGTGTCTGTCTCTGTGTGTGTGTGTGTGTGTGTGTGTCTGTCTCTCTCTGTGTGTGTGTGTGTGTGTGTGTGTCTGTCTCTGTGTGTGTGTGTGTGTGTGTGTGTGTGTGTGTGTGTGTGTCTGTCTGTCTGTCTGTCTGTCTGTCTCTCCTGTCTGTCTGTCTGTCTGTCTGTCTCTCTCTCTCCTGTCTGTCTGTCTCTCTCCTGTCTGTCTTTACACGCCTGCTAACATTACAGTGGCCACACAGTCAAACAGCTGTTAGCTTAGCTCAATCTAAAATCTGTTTATCCGCAGCACATCATGAGCCCTGTTAGCGCTTACAGCTAGCCCGTTAGCCTACCATCGCAGGCAGGCCTTGGTGATGTAACAGCCAAAACAAACAGGTAACGGCTCTCGTGACGTATCTCAGGTGTCAGCTGCACGCGCTGCAGGGTCCCCGCTGAATGTCCGCGGCGCGTGCGGCTGTCCGGTCCAGATGTTCACATTAAAAAACAACATTGACGGAGCTCTGACTCTGCTACGATCAGCTGTACGCCGCGGTGCTGACGTCATATCCGGCTCCACCTCACGCATGTAAACAAGCTACAAAATTAAAGTCTCCGGACGTTATCATTTTATAGTTTATTTCGTTGGTTTTATATTTTATAGATATAATTGATATATTTCATACAGTATGCCTATATTCATTTTTGTTATTTAAGAATTAAAGGGGACATATTATGAAAAATCCACTTCTATAGTTTTTTTGAACATTTATTTGGGTAAAGACCCCAAAAATGTGAAATAAACCCATCCAGTCCTTTGTTTGTTGTCTGCATAAGTCTTACAACACAGAGAAAAATGCTCTATTTCAAATGTGCTCTCCTTGTGATGTCACAGTGGGATTCTGGTAAAATAATCCCCTCCCCTCCCCTGGGATCTCCACCCATAAACTCCACCTCCAGCCGAGAACAAAACTTTTGAGCATGTCCGCCATTTTTAAAACTCGGGGGGGGGGGGGGGGGGGGCTCATTGCATTTAAAGAGACACACACACCAAAACTGAGAGAGCTGGTTTATACAGGGTCACAAACCTCCTCTGGTGCTTGATTTATGTTATATTTTGACCAAAGCACAGCACAGATGTTTCATTTAGACCACAGGGGACTGTTTGAAAAGGTGGAGAAGGGGGAGAATATGTCCTCTTTAAATTGTCCATTTCATTATTTTTTATTTACTTTTGTATTTTATGTTTGGTCTGTTCATACATTTTATTTCGTTTTTTTCATTATTATCTTTACATGTATGTTTGTTATACATTTGACAGTCTTTGGTTTGAACAGTGTCATTTAAATTAAACAAATGTAATTATTCAATAATTGAGATTTAATTTTAGAATAACTTAATTTGTGGTTGTTTTAAGTCAAATTGAACTAAATGATTTAATTAAATGATTTTGTTTTTCACCAATTTTAAAGGATAACAATTTTCTTAACACATAATTTAGTCAGAAATAATTATCTCATAGAATGTTATACTAAAATGAAGTCTAAACTCCTAAAGATGTTAATTATGATTCTGAAAGCAAGATTCTCAGTGTGTGTTGTGTGTGCGTCCATGGTGAAGAAGCGAAAGCAGTTTGTCTCATTAATGACTTTATTGTTTTTTATGGCACAAAGAGGAAAAAATAATCAATCACTGATCAAACATCTGTTTGTATACGTGAAGTTTAATAACAGAAACATATTTGAATCTGTGTTGTTGTGTAACACTTTACAAGTGCAGTTGTGTTATAAAAATCTGAGATCCTTATTTAAAAAAAACAAAGCAACATTTCCAATCATTAAATCAAACTATCAATAGATTTTTTAACCAATCAGGAGTTATTTTATCTATCCATTTTATAAATTGTACAAATGTAGAGTTATTTAAAAAACCCATCGAGAAGAACTGTGGAAGCAAACAGGATGATGTGCAATCAGGGGAAGCAACAATAACAACAACAACAATAACGTGAAACAACAAAAGAATGGCACACTGATGAGGAGGTTCACGAGAGCACTTTTTAAACAAACAAAACAAAAAAAAAACACTTTCTGATGAGGATGTGATGGTCGCAGTCTGTGAGAGTTAGAACGCTAACCCTAACCCAGTCTGCAGATTAAATAATTATCAGTACAGTCTTTTCTTATCTTATCAAAGTCTCAGACCAAACAGAACCAGAGAGGTGCACCACGAAGCAAGATGTCAGAGTAACCCATCTGTTGTTCCAGTTTCTGGTGTCACGGAGCTGGCTCTCTTATGACCTGGTCAGATCACCATGGTAACTGACTCTGCGGCAAAGTGTAATGTGTTAGAGTGATATGACATTATAGATCCTCAGCCTCATGATTATGTTTATGGAAACTATTAGAAATTGTAATGTTAGCTTTTTAACGCCACAGAACCACGCCATGCACTTATAGAAGTAAGCTACATGCATCACATCACAGAGCCCATGGTTTCAGATCAGTGATGCAAGTAATCTACCCACGGATCACGTCATATCCTCCGGTGAATTAGCTTAACATCAGTATCAGCCTGTTGGCAGACTTCATCAAAAATGAAAGTAGCTGATGATTATCTGTTCTGTCGCATTAACTCAATGATGTCATCAAGTACAAACTCTGATTTGAATTGACGGTCGAACATGAGAGGAAATGTTTATGTCATTATGGGAGTCTTACACCGAAAGAAGTAATAAAACAAACATCAGTATCGGCCCAGATTTTTCATAATCTGTGCATCTCCAGTTTTTTATCATAGACTGTAAATATTAAAGGATGAAGCCTGAATGATGTCAGCCATCTGTTCCTACAGGGGGCTCCGGAGGCTCATCAGCAGCAGCCACCATGTTGGAAATCCTGTCTCAGTCTAACTTTCAGTCAACCTAACGACAGGCTGAGAGCTGGAGGTCAGGTGGGTTTTAAACCTCTTGATGAACTGTTACATCACACCCACCTGTCAATCAGTTCAGCTACGCTCCTAACTATGGATAACATGTATCGTTTTTTAAAATCAAAACGGCACTGTTTAAAATAAATTCACCCCAGTACAGTGTGTGCCCATCATGACAATAGTTAATCAGAACTGTTTTTCGTACCAGGCTGTAAACATGTTTATTCCTGCTGTAAAAACGGCTTTTATGCCCGTCGGTGTTCCTGGAGTCAGCCTCTAGTGGACACTCAAAGAACTGCAGGATTTTGCACTTCCGCATTGGAATTGTTTTATCACAGCTACTGATTATGCTCCTGAAAGCACCTGTTTCATTAAGTTTAGAGCTGTACCGCGAGTAGCTGTCACGTTAGACGTAAAAAGAGACGCATCGACAAACCAACTATGAAATCAATAAACAAGTTAACAGTGATTTTCTGCAGCATCTGAGTCCCTCTGTGCAGCAGCAGTGTAGTTTTTCTTTCGTACTGACATACGTGTTAATCATAGCTGCTCATCATTTCAGTCTGACTGAAGACAGTCGGTGATCGTTCAGTGACATTTGCCACAGGTGTGTGGGGTTGTGTTAGCATGTTGTGTTAGCATGTTTTAATACAGCTCCAGAAGATCAGTGTGCTTGATATGAACAAATAAAAATCAGTTTGGTTCATTTTGAACAGACAGAGGAGGCTTACGTAAAGGAAATAAAGGGGTCACAAAAATCATGAGTGGATTAAAAACACTGAAATGTGAAAATTATCGGAATAATTATAATTTATATATAAAATTATTATTTTATAGAAGCCTGATATTTCTCTGTCGTCAGTATGTTCTAGATTAATTTATTAAATACTGCAGCATCATTCAGTGGTACCAACACAACAGTCAATTTACATCACTGTTATATCTCAGAGTCACATCATGTTCACACACACGCTCACAGGCGCGCACACACGCACACACGCACACACAGTCAGATCTAATCTGTGCAGTCAGAAACTTCATGTTTCGAGTGAAAAGATCTTAACTGGCAGCAGATTGTTGATGTTCTGGTCTGTGGAAAGCTGCAGTTCCATGTCAAACACCGGGTTGCAGCAGCTCTGCGTAAGTTCAAACGTCGTCAGAAAAACTTTCTAATTCAGGACGGAGTTCATATTTTAGGTTTAGCACCATAAAGTTGTGATAGAGGCAGAAGTTACACCTTAAATCTTACACCTAGGTCCTAGTAGGTTTCAAAGTCCAAGGTAAAATGGCGTTGTCATGGTGACTGTGTTAGAAAGGTGGGCTAACTCGGAGGATGAGGAGGAGCAGAGGGTTTCACCGGCTGTGCGTGTTCTCCGTGATCGGTTACATCCCTCAGATGTTTGATGACTTTGTGTTTACTCCCGCTTTAGCTCTCCATGAGTAGAGATCATTTCACCGTCCAATCGTAGAGGACTGTTAAATCACGTCATGTAGTAGTTGAAGACTTCACCACTAGGCGTCACTGTTGTCATCTGACACTAGCTGTAGGTTATGACCTCATCATGACGACTTGTCCTATCATACAAACATTAAAGTTATTTTCAGCCGTTAGTGTGATCAGAGACAATCAGACATGAGAGGAAACAAACAAACACTGCAGGGAGAAACATGCTGCTCTCTGATTGGTCACATCAAGTTATTATTTTGGTTAGTTTGGACGTTACGCTCCACTAGTTAAAATGAATCTTAAGTCTCCATGGTAACCAAACAATGACACAACTTAAGTTACAAACTAACTCGTTTACACGTCAGGTTTAGAGTGGATGCTAGAGCACAACTTAAGAAAGAACTTATACAGAGCTGCTGCAAAAGGACACTGGTCCCAGTCCAGGTCCTGGTTCCTGTTCTGGTCCTGGTTCAGATCCAATGGTTAGTGCAGGTTGGGATACTTGACACAGAATCTGTTGAATGCGTCGTATATGGTCTGTCTGCAAATAACACACAGATACCAAATGTTTAACAGCCAGAAATCCTCTCTTATTTTAATAATCCATAATATCAAAAAGTACTGAAGCTTTAAAAAACATTACAGAGGACATATTATCCCCCTTCTCCACCTTTTCAAACAGTCTAAATGAAACATCTGTGCTGTGCTTTGGTCAAAATATAACATGAATCAAGCACCAGAGGAGGTTTGTGACCCTGTATAAACCAGCTCTCTCAGAACGCTCCGTTTTGGTGTGTGTGTCTCTTTAAATGTAATGATGGTCAAATCAGCAGTTCAGTGAGTTTTCTGTGTACAGGCTGAAATCTCTTAATATTTGGTGCCTTCGCCTTCTATTTTTGTTGCCATGGTATCAAACAGGTATCAACATCTTTTCTTTTTTTCTAGAATTATAGAAAAGTTTAAATTCTGGTATTGTAACAACCTTCTTTCTGCGTCCTGGTTTACCTGAAGACGTTCTGTTTGAACAGGTATGCACTGATGTGTCCTCCTTTCAGGTACCTGACCTCACAGCCAGGCCAAATCTCCTGCAGACTGAGGACTCCCGTACGAGGGATGTAAGCGTCCTCTTTGGCCTGGACCACGATGATCAGACTGGTGTCCACCGGGACTGGCACAGAACATTTCAGACAAACACAAACATTATTACCATCTGTGCGTCTCGTCAGATACCAGAGAAGAAAAAAACATGAAAACATGAGTCAGGAATCTGTGGTGTTGAAGCTTCAAAGTCCTCTCCAGTTTTTACAAACATCTTGACTCTACATCTAAAAATGTCAAACCTGCAGCTCTGGTTCCTCTGTTAAAAAGGAATAATAAAATGTTCCTGTTTTAATCTGCAGACACTGATGAGAACTCTGCTTTCCCCGACACACTGAGTGATCACATCATTTCTCATGTTTGTCCTCTGAGGTTAGTTACCAGAGAAGTTGGCCATGTGGGTGCACTCGTCCATCACTCCCTTCATGAAACTGATGGACTCTCTGTGTAAAGATGGCCGACAGCATTTGTCTGAATCCGTCTTCTTCCCCCTGTGTGTGTTCCCATTGACGCTTCTGAAAAGAGAGAAAGTTAAGAGATCAAAACTGAGTGAAGTGACAGATTCCCTGGGGTTATATCTAACAACAATAAAAGGAAGAAGGTGCGACTTTTTCATCCAGTAGATGTCGCCACTGAGCACCAGCATGAAACCAAAACAAACAGCTGTTTGGCCACACCTCCTCCACACTGAAGCCTCCACTCTCCTCCAGAGACACACCTCCAACACCCCTCCACTCACGTTTACACGGAGGCGTAATGAATTTGTGCGCACAATAATTAAGCACCATTAAGCTCAAGCGGCGGACAAAATTGTCCTTGGTTTGAGCTGCAATTGCCTGTGTCCTGCATTGTTGTGTTAGCATGCTAATGCTAGCGCTCTTTAGTTAGCTTGTAGCTTCAGATTGCATGTAAACTGACACAGAATGAGTGTGATCTAAAAACTCTTACTAACATCCAAATATAATCAGTGAGTATGTTCTTCTTCTTCTCTCTAGTTCTTGACTAAAACAGCTTTTATACACAAGGGGAGGAGCCGACCGTCCCGTCCATGTAAACACAGCTCTGACAACAACACAGCCAGCAGGACTCAAGCTTCTCCCTCATTGTAGACTGTCATGACTCAGAGACACATTTACACAGGACAGACTGGATTTATGTGTAACATGTAGCACATTCTTCCTTTACTGTGGTGGAATAGCCCGGTGTCCCTGGTGGATGTGGTCACGCACTCCACAAGGTTTAATTACTTTTTACTGTTTTCTCTAAATTCAGGACTACGATCTAATAAGGGACAAACGCTGGTAAAAAGTGGCGCCGCCCGCCTGGTCCACATCACTGTGTTTCCCTGCACACTCTCTCAGCAGCAACAATTAATGGAGGGGAATTTCCAACTGTGTCCATTCAGTGCAGCCATGAAGGCGCATGTTGCAGCGTTTTATAATGGTCAACTGGTATATAGGATGCAGCCCTCTCTTTATATGAAAAGCTCTGTATTAAAAGTGCATGTTAGACTCTTAGACTGAAGAAGTTACTCCCTGTAATGTTAATATTTAGGACATTTTTTTTTAAAGATTTATTTTGGGCTTTTCGTGCCTTTAATGCAGAGAGAGGACAGTGGATAGAGTCGGAAACCAGGGAGAGAGAGCAGGGAATGACATGCGGAAAAGGGCCACGGGTGGAAGCGAACCCGGGCATACCGCTCGAGACGAGAGTCTCAATACATGGGACGCGCGCCCCAAGAAGACTTATTCTTAGAAATGAAACACTTGTTTATTTCACAATAGCTTGTATTGATTACCTCTGTATGGAGTCCACTGTGGTCCCACTGCTGCTAACTGAGGACAGAAGCTGTTCTACGTGGTCTCCTCCAATCAGCAGTCCCTGTCCAGCTTTCTGTCCGGTCGATGTTCTGTCCTCAGAGAGACCCAGCAGATCCCCCAAAGACCCTGGATCCTTTAAAAACTCCTGACACATCTTGAAGGAGTCAGCCTGAGCGTCAGAGCACATAGACAAACTCACGGTTAGAGCGAGTATCCATCATACTGATGAACGGTTGTCATGACAGCACTTTAAACTTCGATACGACTCTGGTAAAAGTAAAAATTAAATATTGGAAGTTTTTCCAATACAATGGCGACAAAAATTGGAGCTCTAGGTAGGAACAGATCCAGTACTTGTTCTTGATTACCAGAAGTTGCAGCTGAACTCTGCAAACTGTCTAAATCTCACAAAAACAATAAACAGACATTCAGACTCACCCCGCAGTACTCCAGCAGATTAATGATCTCCTCTTCATACACAGAGTTTATCGCATACTGCTTCTCCAGCTCCGTCCAGTTCACTGCTCTACTGAGAACGCCCTACACACACACACGCACGCACAAGCACAAGCACAAGCACAAGCACAAGCACAAGCACAAGCACAAGCACAAAAAGGTCTGTTACATACATATTTCATCAGTGCTGTCTCGCCTTCATTATCCCAGACGGACCTCAGAGGACCAGACTTGTACACTAATGTAATCAATGATGAGTAAATCAGAACTGGACTAGACTAACACAAAAACCTCCCGTTTTCATTAATATCTTTCAATATCCTTCATTTATTTATAGTGTGATTTTTAGTTTTTATAAAGATGACGGAGTCAAGATGCACAGAGACACGGTGTGGCTTCACACATTTCGCCTTCCTGTTACTCAGCACGTCTTCATCACCTGCACATAATTATGTATATGAAGAAGTCAGTGTGGGTCCTGTAAACAAATAAACATTGTAGATATACTTGTGTGTAATGATGAAGGCTGGATGTTTTGGCGCTGTAGGAGGACAGCGTGAATGCAGCAGCGACGTGGTGTCACTCTCTGATTTTTCTTCAGTTTGTGATCCTCCTGCTGGAGTAAACTATCCATATGTCCATTTAATCCTTCATTTCATTCACAAGCTCCTCCATTTCTGAATCAGAAAGTTTATTTTCTTCGTCTAAACTTCCTGTTTTCACAGCGATCCAGTGCTGGAAACCTTTGCTCCGCCCCCTCGTTTGTATGCTTCTTCATTCACGAGCTGCTTTGCGTTGAGCGTTTATGGTTGATTGTGGGCATGTAGAGGGTCGAACATGGGGCTAATGTACGTGAGCACATTTCCAGGTGGATCGTGATTTATAAAAGGGAATATTGCGTGCCGTGTGCATACGAACGGTTTTATAAATCTGAATCATTTTGTGCGCACGGCATTTCCGGATTTTTGGCGCACCTACATTTTTAGTATGGATTCTACGCACTCTTTCATAAATGAGACCCCAGGCTTTTCCCCCCAAAGCGAGCCTTCCTGCACATCTCAGTGCTCTGTAGCTCCACCCAGAGGACGGAGCAGTGAGGTGTGGGATGTCCTGTTGACATCAGCTCTCATGTTGCAGTAATAAAAGGAAGTGACCTCGTTGGTGAGTAAGTTACCGTGGTGAAGACGCTGGAGGCTGTGGACCAGGACAGACAGGGAACCAGAGGAATCGGCTTCGGCCAGTTAGTGACTGCCAGAGACGCCATCTACACACACGTGATTGACAGGAGGAGCAATCATATAAACATTTTAAAAAACATGATGTCATACTCGTAAATTACGTGAAATAATATACTGTGATAGAAGGATCAAAAATGAAAATACTCTATAGTCGTGATTTCAAAATGTGTCTGATAGAAGAGAGTCAACGTTTTAGAAGGTCTGATAAATGTTTTACACAGGCACAAACTCTATTCAGTATGGACCGAGAGTTTCTAAATATTGTACTCACGTATCCTCCCATAGAGATTCCAGTCATTCCCAGAGGCCAGTAACCTTCCCTCTGCAGCCAGTGGAGCAGCACGGTGGACTCAAGGATCAGAGCGCCCCCCATCACAAACAGGTCCGAGACGTTCTTCAGACTGGACCTCCTGAACATTCACACAGACACTTCATGTTTACACTCCAGACTAGCTGATATCCGAAGCACCAAACATTATTGTTCCACCAATTTATAAATAAAGTCACCCAAACACAACTACAGTCTAAAAAAGTTTCACTCGCGCTTCCTTTCTGACATCAGGTGAGCGGAATAACACAGAGTGTAACCAGCTGCACAAAACAATCATGAAACACCTCGATCTTTATAAATAAAGAGGAATATCACAGCAGACCTCTCTCTCTCTATCACCTGTAGATCAAACAGACGGGCAGATCATCTACTACTTTATCGATCTTAAACGGCTATCTAAAGCCAATTAAAAAAAAGCCACAGCGCTTGTGCATGTAAGTAAAGGGGCGTGGCTTTAGAGGGAGCACAGAGGGGAGGGGGTGCAGACGCAGCACTGAGGGAATGCTATTTTCAGAATCATGCTAGTTTTTCTGAAACTACCAGCCCTGCCTTTAATACGATGTGGCATTAAGACAAAGAGAGTGAACTAAAAAACTCCCTTTGGGTTTGTTGATCAAGGCTGTCTCCGTTTCCTTCAAGTGAATCCTTTCCTCTCCAGCCGTTAGCCCTGCCTCCGTGGGCGAAGAGAGACGGTCCACTCAGGGAAGCTGTTTCTATGAGCATTAAAAAGGAAACGCAGCTTCTTTCTGCATCTCCGTCTATCCCACCTCCAAAGCACATCACAGTCTCAGCAGACGGCCGTTTCTCCTTTTCCACTGTAACTTTGTTTAATGCTTCTATTATAGCCCCGTTTCCACCAAGCGGTCCAGTTCAGTTTGGTACGATACCCATTTATTGGCGTTTCACCGTCAACAGTTGGGAATGGTGCCAAAATAAGGGATCCATACCATCCTACTTTTTTGGTACCCTTCTGTTGGGGTGCCAAGGGTACTGATCGGATCCTAAATGGTCCCATTTGTTTACTGTGACCCATTCTTCTTTGTTGAACTTAATTAATATCGGGCTTCACTGTGTTGGGCTGCTATGATGTCACACTGTTACATAGCTGATGCTACACTCCGCTTACTAAATAAGAGTACGATTGGCTCTGAAAACACAAACAAGATCAGGGTTTACAGTACCGTACCGTACTGAACCAAACCGGACTGCCTGGTGGAAACGGGGCTTTAGTGCTCATGATGGATTCATGTCAGCTCTTTGTAAATAATGTAACAAAGAGTAAGGTCTAGACCTGCTCTTTATGTAAAGTGGCTTGAGAAAACATTTGTTATCAATTGGTGCTTTACAAATAAAGATTGAAGGAGAACCAACTAAATACTTTCTAAGGACCAAAACAGACAAACACAACAACTGAATCAACTTTGAGACGCTTGTCATTGCTCGCAGAACCGGGTCTCAGTGGTTTATTGGCAGTCACCTGCTGCGGTATCTAAAATCAATTAGATACCCGACTTGATGTCAGAATTGTCATCAAAATATGTTTAGTTAATGATAAGATACTTTTGATTAATTCACATATTGCACATCAACTTTTTGCTCAAATATCACTCTTAACAGTAACATTTCACAGATCTTCTTCGTAGCATCAACGCTGTTTTGTGCTATTGCTACAACATTCAGACTTTTCCGAACTGAAATCACGTGAACAGTCTTAAGCTAACAAAACACACTCAAGATCAGGACTCGTGTTCCAACAGTTTTACTCTTTTCTCTTTCTTGTTTTTATAAATCTTTACATCTGAAATGAAAGAATGAAGTGTGAACTTACAGTTGGTCTTTGGGTTTACGGTATCCATGTGAAGGCCGGTTAAGAAACAAACAGATGATGAACACAAAGACACATTTTAAAAGATGGATTTTTTTTCCTCATGTTGAAATAAACAGAGAAAATCTTTGAATGTTTTTGTTTGTTGTTTTTTCTCCTCTTCCTGTCGGTTTGTTTGTTTGCAGCGTGCTGGACGTGTTTTTTTCTTTAGGATCAGATTTTATTTTCAGACGTTTTCTTTGTTATTTTGTAAACTGAATCAAATCTTTAAATCAGGAAATCCATTTGCATTTTTTTAAATCTCAAATTTGTGTTGTCAACTTTTTGAGTAGAATTGTGATCACTTTGATTTTTAAATAATCTGATAAAACTTTAAGTAGGTCAAACAAAAATGTTTTTTTTATAATGACGTTAATGATCTAGACGTTGAGTATTCGCTGACAGGAGGTAAAGTAGACTTTATATATCTTCAATATCAAACATTACATTTTATATTTCGAAACTGAGAAGGGATTTCAGTTTGTGGACAATCTGGTTTGGATCAACCTGATCCAGATTATACTTTAAGATTACCAAATCTGGGCTGCACGGTGAGGAGGTTCCTGGTTTGAATCCCTGTCTGACAGGAGTCTCTCTGTGTGGAGTCTGCATGTTCTCCCCATGCATGTGTGAGTTCTCTCCTGGTACTCCGGCTTCCTCCCACAATCCACAGACCTGCTCGTTAGGTTAACAGGAGACTCTAAATTGGTGGTATAAAAGGATATAATACGGATTCTCCAGAAGCAGAGAGGCCATTCCTGCTTCTTTGATCATCGGACGAGCCATCAGGGTCCTCCGACGCCAGAAAAACTACTCAGACACACACAGAGTCAGAGAGGATCATGTTAACATCGCAGTAAGGTTGTGTGTGTGTGTGTGTGCAGTGTTTCCCCTAGCTTTACAGCTTGGGGGGGGGGGGCACATTACTTTTGATTTGGAAAACTAGATCAAATATTTACTGTAAGAGTCTACTTAATCTGATATTAATATGAGGCTGTGATAGAGCTGGAATCTCTCCTTTCTTCTCCGTGAGAAACTCTTCATCCTTAGATCTTTACTTTAGGAGCTCTCTTAAGGGCTAAGATGTTTTGTGAATAACTTTGATCTTTACCAGGATCTAGTCTTTAACTTTAAGGGGCCATTTAGCTGCAGCATGTTCCAGCTCCTCCAGCTGTCTGTCACTGTGGCTGAAACTTTTCTCCATTCTGTTTTCGTCATGCCCTGCTGTCACTCTCGACTCTGCAGGTGATTTTTTGTTCTTTGAATAATGATTTTAGCCTGGCTTTTGTTGGGATTTTACCAAACGTGTTTTATACTAGAGAAAACCTGCGCTAAAATCTGTTTGCGAGGGTACAACTCGAGTGTTAGGCGCGCCCTCGTGGGAGGGACAGCAGTGAAGCCGTCGGCTGTCTTTCAACATGATGGCTCATGATACGTTGATGCTGTAGCAGCTATTAGTGCAAAGTTCTCAAAATAATTACTGACAAATCCCATGAAGAGACAGAAATGACATGCCGTTGTCTAGTTAAGATAAATAACATAAGGCTGTTTAGTTTTTTTTCAGCCCCCCCCCCCCACCCCAATACAATGGTAGGGGAAACACTAGTGTGTGTGTGTGTGTGTGTGTGTGTGTGTGTGTGTGTGTGTGTGTGTGTGTGTGTGTGTGTGTGTGTGTGTGTGTGTGTGTGTGTGTGTGTGTCTTACATGGTCTCCTGTACCGGCAAGATGGATGCATACTGGTCTGTGGTTCTTCCACCTCTTAGGAACAATAAACTGGAACCTGAAACATTGAACAGACAGGTCACCTACAGGTAACAGACAGGTCACCTACAGGTAACAGACAGGTCACCTACAGGTAACACACAGGTCACCTACAGGTAACACACAGGTCACCTACAGGTAACACACAGGTCACCTACAGGTAACAGACAGGTCACCTACAGGTAACACACAGGTCACCTACAGGTAACACACAGGTCACCTACAGGTAACACACAGGTCACCTACAGGTAACACACAGGTCACCTACAGGTCACCTACAGGTAACAGACAGGTCACCTACAGGTAACACACAGGTCACCTACAGGTAACAGACAGGTCACCTACAGGTCACCTACAGGTCACCTACAGATAACACACAGGTCACCTACAGGTAACACACAGGTCACCTACAGGTAACAGACAGGTCACCTACAGGTCACCTACAGGTCACCTACAGATAACACACAGGTCACCTACAGGTAACACACAGGTCACTTACAGGTAACACACAGGTCACCTACAGGTAACACACAGGTCACTTACAGGTAACACACAGGTCACCTACAGGTAACAGACAGGTCACCTACAGGTAACAGACAGGTCACCTACAGGTAACACACAGGTCACCTACAGGTAACAGACAGGTAACAGACAGGTCACCTACAGGTAACAGACAGGTAACAGACAGGTAACAGACAGGTTAGCAACAGGTAACAGACAGGTCACCTACAGGTAACAGACAGGTTAGCAACAGGTAACAGACAGGTCACCTACAGGTAACAGACAGGTCACCTACAGGTAACAGACAGGTAACAGACAGGTCACCTACAGGTAACAGACAGGTCACCTACAGGTAACAGACAGGTCACCTACAGGTCACCTACAGGTAACAGACAGGTAACAGACAGGTCACCTACAGGTAACAGACAGGTTAGCAACAGGACACAGGCAGGTCACAGATGAGTCCTCGAGGAGTCACAGAAAGGTAGGTCACAGGTAACAGACAGGTTACAGAGTAGTGACTGACATGTCAAAGACAAGTCAGAGACAGTTCACTGATTGGTCTAAGACAGGTATCACGATCACAGAGAGGTCACAGCCGGGTCCAAAATTAGCATCCGCCGCATCAAAATGCAGATAAAAAAAATGTATTTTATATTTGCCGAATAAAAGAAATGAGGTCAGGTGCCATGATCAGTACAAACATAATCGGAAGTTTACGACCACGTTTTTTCACCACACTGCACGTTTCTGGCGTGTAACCTGGACAGAGGACTCAAAGAAAGGTCAAAGGTCACTCTCTGTAGATGTTTCTGTTCATTGTATTTTTCTGTTTTTTTGGCATTTTAGGATTTCTTTTAACATGGATTCTGTTTTCTGCTGAAGCTGAGGTTCACATGAGTCCAATCAGCAGCTGGCTCTGTCAGACTGTGGACCACCTGTACGTGACTCTAGCAAGTTTCACCCCTGAAGAGTTCTACAATATTTCAAGCCCTAACAGACTCTGGATCTGTACCCGGCTTTGACAGACTCTGGATCTGTACCCGGCTTTGACAGACTCTGGATCTGTACCCGGCTTTGACAGACTCTGGATCTGTACCCGGCTTTGACAGACTCTGGATCTGTACCTGGCTTTGACAGACTCTGGATCTGTACCTGGCTTTGACAGACTCTGCTGGCAGGATTCCAGGAACCAGGTGTTCCAGAGGAGAGATCAGGAACCCATCGTGGATGAGACAGTCGGCGTGCTCCTCTGTCTGGAAACAAACAGAAATGTTAATAAAAATAAATTTGTTGACACATAAAAATTAATATACTTTATTGCACTTGAAGTCGGCACTGAGGGAGAACCTTATTTATGTAAACTGGATAATCCTCCGGCACCAAAAACTTGCACTTCTCTCGGTCCCCAATAATCTTACGAAACTCAAATATTCTGTAAGACACAAAATATCATTTTTTGCCAGTTAAAATCAATTTGTATTCAGATTCACATCTAGCTCAGTCTGATGGGACTTGTTGGGAACCAGAAGGTCGCGTGTCCCACTAGGACAGAGGTTTGGAAATTGGTGTGGTTGCTGGTGAGGTGTCCTTGAACCCCCAACAGTTCAGTAACGCTCCCCATGTTCTGGTTCTGTACCTTTTAAGGTCTTCAGGCTTCCCCCATCCCCCGATGAAGAGTTTGGTGAGGAGCAGCCGTCTGTAGAAAAGATCAAGTCTACTCACACCCATGGACCAGCAGCTTGCATCTACACACACACACACACACACACACACACACACACACACACACACACACACACACACACACACACACACACACACACACACACACACACACACACACACACACACACACACACACACACACACCACACACACACACACACACACACACACACACACACACACACACACACACACTTTCTGAGTGTGTATTTTAGTGGACGTACTACCCCACCCTCCTGTCGTGTTTCACTGTGTCACATTTAAGCGTCCGTTATTATTTTAACATTTATAAAAACATAATAACTCATACCCTAAATTAAAATAAACTATAAAACATCACTGAAGAGTTTTTATCTGCTAACACCTGAGGGAGGAAATAAAACAAACTGAATGAACCTGCTGAGCAAAGTTCAACGAAGCTAACACCGCTAAGTTAGCCTGCTAATTCATTACCTTACGACACACACACACACACACACACACACACACCTGTCCCTCAGCCTGCACACGGACGTCTGGTTTCCTTGTGGATATCTTCACCCTGCTAGCTAACTGCTAAAAGCTAACACTCTGTCCTCAGAGGACGAATGACTTGAACCGGAGCGTCAAGCTCAAGTTTCTTCTTCTTCTTCCTCTATTACACTTCCGGTAGAGACAAGCTGCAACTGACGTCACACTAAAACAAGCTCCGGTTTCTTTCCAAAATAAAACTACACATTGAGGCAAGTCCATATCAAAATGAAGTTGCCATGGCTGGGAGTCGGGACCAGGTCGGGACACACCGGGGGGTCGGGAGCGCCCAAGAGGGGGAGACGCGGGATGCTTTCCAAAAAACGACTTAAAATAAAATATAAAAATTGTATAGGCCTATTTTACCCAGTACGGTAAAAGAAATAGGGTAGTACACAAAGGTAGTTAAAGAAATGTTTTCAAATGAATCCAATTCATTAAGTTAAAAGAAATTAAATTGATTTGTAAAAACGCATAAAATGTAAATTTGAGGGGCGCTTGTAGTGTTTGAATCTGCCCTGTGGCCCCCTTTCCCACATGTCATTCCCCAATCTCCGTTTTCTGACTCTATCCACTGTCCTAGCTCTACAATAAATCCCAAAAATAAACCTTTAAATATGTCAGTGTACATTTACACATCAAGATGAACACGTGTATCTGGTTATTAAGTCTTGTATGTCCACTCAGCCAAAAGTCTATACATAGACATTACTTGTATTTTGTTTCTAGCTTTTCTTGCAATAAATTACTATGTAATATAAGATGAATTTATGTTTTTAGGCTGTTGTATTCATTTGTGTTACCAGTGTTTCTAAGCCTATTAAGCCTTGTTTCCACCAAGTCGTCTGGTTCAGTTTGATTCGGTACTTAACAAATTGTTTGGCATGTCTACTGTCAAAAGTTGGGAATGGTACCAAAATAGTTGGGGTGCCAAGCGTACTGATCCAACCCTAACACTGGAGTCAGACACACTGCAGTCCGTTGATTGGTCGAGAAAACCCCTTTCCATGTGACATTGGTAATAAAGGTCAAACACAAAACATGCCATGTTTAAATATCCTGTGGATTTGGAGACCGTTGTCAGCGCGTGGCTCCGCCCCCTGGACGACTTTGGAGATGCAGACCTTCCTAGGAGTCACCGGTCTTTGTTCAGTGTCAGGTTTTTCGTGGTCTACACTTTATCGCACTGCTATGATGTAGTGAAATGTAAGGGTACAGCTGGCTGTGGTAACCAAAGAAAAATGAGGGTTTACCCCTTACCGAACTGGACCACTGGTGGAAACAGAGCTTTAGTGTGGACGCGAGTGTGTGCTCAATAAATACCTCAACCACCTCCAGGGACAGCAGGGGTCCCCAGTCTCTGGCAACATTAGTTTGTGTCAAGAGCTAAAAAAGTTTGAGATGCCCTGACATCAAGGACCATCATTTGGCAGTGAATTGCTTTGGCTACTCTCCTATCGAGATAAACCTCAAATTAGCAGATCATTTTATTGTTTTTCTGTAAAAAGACTATTAGGTCTCTGATTGTCCCGGACACTTGCATCATTTCCATCCCACACTCAAACTCTGCTGTGCTGACTTTGTTCTGGCCGAGCTCCCTCTCTGTCCTGAAGAAGGACGATCTTGATCAAATGAAATCCTCCTTCCAGCTTGACACGAAGATGTCCTGTCCACTATCAGGCTCTTCATCTTCAAGCTGCTCGCCGTGCTCTACTTTGTAAAAATACCCAGAGAAATAAAAAAAGAGATGATAACTGTTTGATAAATATGCCGTCAGATTGGCCTGATGAGATGAATGATTCATCTTTATCTGATCGACTTTAACGCAGTGAAATTTAAACAACAAACTGCAGATTTTATTGACATTCATTCAGAAACAGCACAGAGGACAGGAAATGACAACGTGTTACATCAGTAAATCAGCTGAATGGGAAGCCGATCAATAAGTCAACAGGGGTGTTGGCAACGCTGTGTTTGGCAGCCTTCTCATACCGACAGTTTCGAGGTCAAACTGAAGAGGGTCCAGGTCCTGGACTTCTCAATCTAAACAGATCCAGCTGCTCATGGATCAGTCACCCCATGTTGTGACGGTTTCCATAACCTCTTTGGTGATTGTCTTTCCAGTCATCCCAGTTTCTGGCCTTCATCAGAGACTCCTCATCATCATTTTCAGCCTTTTTCTCTTTTTCTTCTTCTTCTCTTTCCTTTGCATCAGAGTCCTCGTCCTCAGCGACCCTCCTCGGTAAACCCTGGTCAGGCAGAGCTCCGCGTTTCTTGTGCTGATCGTACCAATCATCTACTGTCATGGTGGGAAGGCTGGGATACCCTGCCCCGAACACATGAGCCTGGAGGTGAGAAACACACATATTTTGAAAACTAGAGTTATCAGTCACAGTCCTGTGTATGTATAGTTAGACTGTGTGTGTGTGTGTAGTCAGACTGTGTGTGTAGTCAGACTGTGTGTGTGTGTGTGTAGTCAGACTGTGTGTGTGTGTGTGTGTAGTCAGACTGTATGTGTGTAGTCAGACTGTGTGTGTGTAGTCAGACTGTGTGTGTGTGTGTGTAGTCAGACTGTATGTGTGTGTGTGTGTGTAGTCAGACTGTATGTGTGTGTGTGTAGTCAGACTGTATGTGTGTGTGTGTGTGTAGTCAGACTGTATGTATGTGTGTGTAGTCAGACTGTGTGTGTATGTGTGTAGTCAGACTGTATGTGTGTGTGTGTGTGTAGTCAGACTGTGTGTGTGTGTGTGTGTAGTCAGACTGTATGTGTGTGTGTAGTCAGACTGTATGTGTGTGTAGTCAGACTGTGTGTGTGTGTAGTCAGACTGTATGTGTGTAGTCAGACTGTATGTGTGTGTGTGTAGTCAGACTGTATGTGTGTGTGTGTAGTCAGACTGTGTGTGTGTGTGTGTAGTCAGACTGTACGTGTGTGTGTGTGTGTGTAGTCAGACTGTATGTGTGTGTGTGTAGTCAGACTGTATGTGTGTGTGTAGTCAGACTGTGTGTGTGTAGTCAGACTGTGTGTGTGTAGTCAGACTGTGTGTGTGTAGTCAGACTGTATGTGTGTGTGTGTAGTCAGACTGTGTGTGTGTGTGTGTAGTCAGACTCTGTGTGTGTGTGTGTGTGTGTAGTCAGACTGTATGTGTGTGTGTGTAGTCAGACTGTATGTGTGTGTGTGTAGTCAGACTGTATGTGTGTGTGTGTAGTCAGACTGTATGTGTGTGTGTAGTCAGACTGTATGTGTGTGTGTAGTCAGACTGTATGTGTGTGTGTGTAGTCAGACTGTATGTATGTGTGTGTAGTCAGACTGTGTGTGTGTGTGTGTAGTCAGACTGTATGTGTGTAGTCAGACTGAATGTGTGTGTGTGTAGTCAGACTGTATGTGTGTGTGTGTAGTCAGACTGTATATGTGTGTGTGTGTGTGTGTGTAGTCAGACTGTGTGTGTGTGTGTGTAGTCAGACTGTATGTGTGTGTGTGTAGTCAGACTGTATGCATGTGTGTGTAGTCAGACTGTGTGTGTGTGTGTAGTCAGACTGTGTGTGTGTAGTCAGAGTGTATGTGTGTGTAGTCAGACTGTGCGTGTCTGTGTGTAGTCAGACTGTATGTGTGTGTGTGTGTGTAGTCAGACTGTATGTGTGTGTGTGTAGTCAGACTGTGTGTGTCTGTGTGTAGTCAGACTGTATGTGTGTGTGTGTGTAGTCAGACTGTGTGTGTGTGTGTAGTCAGACTGTGTGTGTGTGTGTGTGTAGTCAGACTGTGTGTGTGTGTGTGTGTGTGTGTAGTCAGACTGTATGTGTGTGTGTGTGTGTGTGTGTGTGTGTAGCCAGACTGTGTGTGTGTGTGTGTAGTCAGACTGTATGTGTGTGTGTGTGTGTAGTCAGACTGTGTGTGTGTGTGTGTAGTCAGACTGTGTGAGTGTGTGTGTGTGTGTGTGTAGTCAGACTGTATGTGTGTGTGTGTGTGTAGTCAGACTGTATGTGTGTGTGTGTGTGTGTGTAGTCAGACTGTGTGTGTGTGTGTGTGTGTGTGTAGTCAGACTGTGTGTGTGTGTGTGTGTAGTCAGACTGTGTGTGTGTGTGTGTGTAGTCAGACTGTATGTGTGTGTGTGTAGCCAGACTGTGTGTGTGTGTAGTCAGACTGTGTGTGTGTGTAGTCAGACTATATGTGTGTGTGTGTGTGTGTGTGTGTGTGTGTGTGTGTGTGTGTGTGTGTGTGTGTGTGTGTGTAGTCAGACTGTGTGTGTGTGTGTGTGTGTGTGTGTAGTCAGACTGTGTGTGTGTTTCTCTACACGTTGGGTCTCACAATAACACAAAGTGAATTCACAGACTGGAAAAATCACATAAAGCTGTTGAATCATTCTGAATGTACGAAGACATAACGATGGAGGATTCTCGTTTCGGCCCTGTTTTAGAATCACACAATGAAAAGTGTCCAAACGAGTTTATAGAATCATTCCCCTCCCCCTCTCAGACACACAGTGTGCCCCCCCCCCGTCTCACCTGCACAGCGTCCTTGGTGAGGATGAAGGGTTTCATGGGCGGTCTGGGGGGCTGGTTTGTGGGTCTGGTGGAGTTCTGCTTTAGTCCGTCTATGTTCTTCAGGATCTCCTCCTCCTGCCCGATGCTCTCGATCTCCTCCAGACTCACGGTGATCCACCTCCTCACGTTCAGCAGGTAAAACTCTCTGCTCATCTCGTCGTCCGCCTGCCCGCTCTCCACCGCGCTGCGGACGTCCGACAGTCGAGCCTCCAGCTCCTTCTTCTGACGGTAACGCTCAATCTTAGCCTGCCGCTGTGTTGCCATGGCGACCAGGTCAGCTGAGCCGGGGGTGGGCTGGAAGAGGAAAAATCACATCAATCTGTTTGTTTCTTCTGCACTCATTCACAGGTTCATTCAGACACTTTCTCATGTCATCACTCTTTAATTATGACCTCTGAATCCCTCAGTTTCAGAGTAAATACTGTAAAACTTCAAATACAAGCCCATCCCAATTTGAGGTCCTTTTACTAGCTTGGTGTTGCTGAACATTTCAACAAATAAAGGCAGTCTCAATTTATTTTTAAACATGATCTCCCAGCCAGGTGGTGAGGAGACAGTGAGTAGAGCACGTTTTCACATGGCTAGTTGTTTTTTTAGTGGTTTCAGTT